CCCAACACGAGATATAAAGAGTGAATAATGAAGAGAATATATTTTTAGCAGATTGATATGTCTTTATTTCTTTCTTGTAGAATCTAAATGTAAAATATCCACTGCCTAAAGGATTTTAGAAACTCTGGGGAATATGAAACATATTGAAAAAATCTGCATGTTCTAAAGCAGTTGTAGAGAACATTTAAATACAGATGTACAAGTAGAGTTGAGAAATGAGAATCTTGTACATGATTTTTATACAACAGGTAGGCTAGCTTTGCATCTAAATGGTTCTACATGAGCTGCAATCATGCCATCTCAGCATGCCAGAAGGCTTTTTTGTGGGGAGGGTATGAAGGTTCCCACTGCAAGACAATCATTCTGTACATATGGATGACTCTTCAGTGATCCATCAATTCAGCTGAATTCCCTGTAGCAGCAAATGTATTGCCCATATAGGGCTACTATGTCTGGGAAAAAGTCTTCACATCTTCACCTTGAACAATGTTTACTGAGCTGAATTCCAGAACAAGGTTATTTTCCTCACTCGTGATTTATAGTGTCTTCTGACTCTCGTTCAACTTTTGTTCTTGTGCTGATACAAGAGAAATGAGGCTGAGCTTTTATTGCCTCAGCAATGGCTGGGGATGTCATAAAGACAGTATAAGTTCCTAGTCAGGAAAAATACAAAGGCTGCTGGTTCAAAAGTAGCTCTGGACTTCTATGATCCCAGCTGTGTTTGAAAGCTGATGCTGTTTGTTTCTGCCCAGCTTTAGTGTACATGAAATGGCAGTAAAAACTTGCCATTTCCCCATTTGTAGTTGTTCATGCTTCATGCTTCCTGGATCCTGGGCAAGGTGTCTTAATGTCCTTTTGAAGCCCCAGGGAGGATTTCATTTTGTCTTGTTTTCAGCATCCAACCAGATAAATGCATTCAACATGAAATCAGGTTATGGATGGAGGTGGTAGGAATGCAATCAATTTATTTTTATTTATTTCTTCTTTTTTTTTTTTCATAGAGTGGGAGCTGCAATTTCTGCTGGTTCTTAGTATTTCAAAGTTTGCAAGGAAAAGGCAACTCTGTCTTCAAATAGCTTTCGGTGGATTGGGGAATGGGTATGATGATGTCCTTAAAAACCCATGCCACTCCTTGATGCATGGCACTCTTCTGGCACAAGGCCAGAATGCGACTTAGGTGAGATGGTCGGCATATGTCAGAATTTTCATAAGTAAACAAATAATAGTAAAATAAATGATGCGCAGACAAAATCATGCCAATATCATAAAAACTGATTGAGAGAAAAAGTTGGGTTTATTTCAGGTAAGTTATATAGCCACTGAGAACCAGTCTGGTGCAGTGGTTAAGGCATCAGGATAGAAACAGGAATTATGGGAGTTATAGTTCCACCTTGGACACAAAGCCAGCTAGGTAACCTTCGGCCAGTCACTTTCTCTCAGCCCTAGGAAGGAAGCAATGGCAAACCATTTTTGAAAAACCTGTCCAGGAAAACTGCAGGAAATTGTCCAAGCAATCTTCAAGATTTGGACACAAGTGAATGGAAGAAAAATACACAGCCACTACTATGTTATTTTTTAAAAAAATATAAGAATTAAGATTTTAAAAATCATTGTTGAAATGTCAGGGTGGCTGCTCCTCCGTGTTTCATTTGTCATAAAAGTTGTCAAAAGACAGAAATAAGTATTATATGACTCCACATTACACATGTCTAAATTATCATTTTGACCTATGATATGTTTTTAAGCGCTGCATGCCTTGATATTTGTGGTAATCCTCTGGATTTCATATCAGTTCACCTTTATGTAAACTATGATTAACCTAAGGAAAACATCAATTTTCACTTTCCCCCATTTTTAGTATTAGCCTGAGATTTTTTTTTTAAGTTAGCACTAACATTTCGATTATAGATAGATAGATAGATAAATAGATAGATAGATAGATAGATAGATAGATAGATAGATAGACAGACAGACAGACAGACAGACATACATACATCATTTTGTTTTGTTTTAATTTCTGTCTGATATACACTCTTGGAATTTCTCACAGCATTTTTTTATTCTTTTAATTTCCATCCAATATAGACATTTGGAAACAATTTTACCCAATGTGATGCATGTTTACATTATTTTCAAACTACATGAATTTTTGTGCAAAATTTAAACTATATCTGTACATGGCAAATAGCATTATAAAGTTCAGATAAATACACATTCCAAAAGAGGTGTATTGTTCAGTTTCTGCAAAGTTTGAATTTACAAACCGAAATACATTTGCATTATATGCCAAATTAATACCTCCTTCTCCGAACAAGAATATTCTTTTTAAATAAATAAATACATAAAGTGTATTCTCTAGTGTACCAAAGCTGACTCTGCTTCTCCATGAGTTAAACTTCTGTTAAATAGAGTCTAAAGGTGTCCATCAACTGGACTATGCATGCTCATGTCATCTCAGTTACTGCATTAAGACAATTCTTTAAATCTCACTTTCTGAATTTGAAAAAAGAACACTAAACAAAATCCTTTTCTTTTTGAGATGTTAGCACTAAAGACTTCATGATACGATCCAATCCCAGTGAATTTTCCCTCAACAAGTTGTTTTAATGTGCTATGCTCATGACACTCATGCTGTCAGGAAAATTGTAGTTAAAGAAGTAGTTAATTCTGTACTGTATGTACTTAAAAAACTATTAATTTAAGATTTTTCCCCGCTAGGTATTTTAATAAATATATTCAGTTGGGAACTAATTTAGCAATTTTGCCTAGCCTGAGGCCGGTCATACAAATTACACTATTGGCCTTCAGGGACATAAAAGAAACAGTGGAAAAAGAACCTATTTTTCTTGATAGCCATTAGCCATGAGATTTGGTTCACATGAGCCCAGAGCAAAAGATACTAATAGATGGAAGAATGATGAGCACCGAGGACCTCTCATTTCAACACTGAGCTACAAATATTCTCCTTTATTGGGTTTCACCTCACATCACCGGGTTGTTGTGGGGAAAAAAGGCGGAAGGAGAGGCATTTGATATGTTTGCCACCTTGAATTATTGATAAAGTAATCAAGGTGGGATAAATTTCATACATTAAACAAAAACGAAGTAAAAATACATTTATTGAGGGAAGTTTACAAAAAAAAACATATGCAGGTTTACCTGTCCATTATATCTTCATTATGTATTTTGTATGATTTCATTTCTAGTAGCTTGTAGGTCCCAGCCAATGTTTCTTCCTGGAATAGAGCTAACTTATTTAGTATAAATCTACTGTCTTGGAGGCATTTCCCTGCTGAAAACTACTTGAAAGTTATGTTCTGTTATTTAAACCTGCTTTGCTAAGTTCACAAAGAGAAAATCCGATATGATTTTCATACCAAAAATCTGACAGGCATTCAGAAAGCAGTAACTTCTCTTTGTAAATTTAGCTGACTCTTGATTCTGGGACTATCATTGGATTATCCCCTTACTTTTCTTCACTTGGTAAATCAGATTATATTGTTTACTTGTTTGCTGACTCACAACTTCATTCTACCTTTGCCTCTCATTAATGTTTTATTCTTAATTTTATGCCATAAAACAAGACAGTTTGCAGCCTCTGAAGCACTTCTTCAAATTTTGAAGAACATTCAATAAGTACTGTCAGAAAATTTTGAGGACTTTTTTCGTCACTTTATTGGACATTGTATGTACTGTATATCAACATGCAAAACATTTTGGATATGATCAAACTAGAGTGAGGATTCTTAACAGTTTGATACCTGAAACTGCTTTAAATGGGCCATGCTATACCTTTTGCAATGAATTCCTTTTGAGTGACTTCATAGTCTCTCGCTCTCTTATCTATATCTATCTATCTATCATCTATCTATCTATCCAGCTATCCAGCTATCATCTAGCTATCATCTATCTTCAACAAATTCATTGCTTAGTTGAACTTGATGCACAATGATTCTTGGAAGGATGCTACAGCAAATTATAAAATATTGTCTCTCTAAGTCTTTACCCCCAAGGGCTTTTATCACTAAAGATTATTCTTTATTCCAGCAGATTTGGCCTGGAATAATGCAGTTCTGAGAGGCCAGCTTCATGAGAGTTGGCTTTCAGGAGTGGAAAGCTCCCCACTTTCAGTTTTGATTTCAATTGTGCCTGTGCATTGTGTAGATATCTGAGAAAATAAAGATGAAAGTAAAATCCTTGGTTATTGCCCTTTCCTAAGTAAAACCAAGGCTGGAAAAGGTCAAATCAGTATGACCTCTGGAGTTAGGTTTTGACATAGGTACTGGGGTTTTATGACACTGTGGTCAATTGCACTTTCCACTGGGTTCTGTATGTGGGATAAATATTGTAACTTTTCCATGATTGCCATCTATCAGAATACTTCATTTTGTTAAAAAAAAAAAAAGATGGTGTTGGAGAGAGTAGTGGGAGCATAACTGGAATGGATAAACCTGAATGGAGGTTTAGGTTTTTGCTTTGTTTGGGTATCAAGGACTGGTTATGCAGCATGACTTGTATCAGTACTGGCAAAGGAAAAATTCAGGACTCCAATGGCTTTAGTAGATGTAACACATGCATGGATAACAGGCCACATATTGGTTAATTCTGTATTGAACCAGTACTACAATTGAAAGTTTTAATCTATACAACCCCTTATGACTTTGAAATCAAATCAACCTTTTTTGATTGAGTCAACAGAGGTACTTGACTGAGAGTCAGGATGCTGATGCACTGTGTTGTTGCTTTTCAATAACAGCCCAAGCTCTTGAAATGGCCCTCTAGTTGAAATTAAATTTTAGTTAGTCACAACACAGCCACCTTTAAAAAAACACAAAAAACACAAAACTGAACTCTTAAGAGGTGTGGCCTGTGATATAGGTGGGTGGATAATGTATATTTTTGTTTTTATTTTTGTTGTATTGTGATTGTACCTATTTTATTTGTAAGCCATCAAGAGTTTAATCAACTGCAGCATTGTAAACCAACCAAGCAACACTTACAGTACTGTAATAATTCTGATGGCCTCCGCTCTGAGAAGATTTTGACCACTGTAACACAGTTTATAACATTTATCATTTGATTCTGTGGTTTCCTGGAGTCATGATACCTCTTCAGATCCCATCAGGCTCCTGACAAACTGGGTCACTAGACTTTGTAGCAGACTTGCCATCACTACAGAGGGAAATGAGTGCTTTTTAGTCATGGTATACTTATTTAGTAAAATGTCTTTTTTTAATCTCCTGTGAAGGACCAAACTTGAGGAGACAGGTTTTTTTCTTTATATTCAGATATTTTCTCTGTGGCATTCCAGTTCAGCTGGTATTAGCTTACAATTCAGTACACATTTCTGGCAGGCATAGTTGTCTCCCTGAAATATACTCATCTATTATTGGGTTATCACTTTACAATCAGATGGCCAATCAATAACATAACTCTGGAACAATATTTACATTGCTATTTATGATATCAGCCAAAGAACTAGAACTGTCTATTTCTTTTTCTGAGTTCACACATAATAATTGTCTTATTTATTTATGGAAATAAATAAGAGACAAATACTTTTGTCATCTACAGGTACCATCCCCAGTTTTTCTCATTAATCTTCAGTTCCTGCATCAGGTTTGACTGCATTGAAATGACAATCCCTTCTCTAGTTTGTCAGAACTAATTGGGTCAATCTAAACAGGATTATGATTTTCAGGTTGATGTCACCAGCTCTGTCCCTCATTAAGGTTTTGGGATCAGATTTAGATTTTGATCAATCATCTAAAAACTGGAGGTCTAATATATTGAACATTTGTTGTCTTAATCCAATTTACCTCAGATATATCTCAATTTTCTGAAATGTGAGGTGGACGCTTCAAAGTTCAACTCGCTTACTTGGATTGAAGCCATAGAGAACAGCTAATTACCCATACCTAGTGCCAAGATGTAAAAGCTATAGCATTCACAGAAGTTTAAATTCTTCCTCCTACTTTATGAATTAACAGATATTTGGCATAGCATTGAAGTGCAAAAGTTTATTTAATGACCATCCCCATCCTGGGAACAACTGGTTTTTCCCTCCTTCAAGCTATTGCAATTATAATATCTGTATCTACTGTTCTTTCATCATTTCTTGTTTATTGCTGATGTACTGGCAAATCCAGTTCAGGCTCAATTTCCTTATAGAGCTTTAGCTTGACCATGATCCTTTTTTGTTCACCAACTTGGTTTGCTATTAGACAGAGTAATGATGATGTCCATAAAGGACCTATGTCAATAGATAGCATGTTAGAGAATACAGTTGCTAGGAAACAATGACATAAATGGATATTGCTTTCAAGGCCAATTGATGTAGTCCTTTGACAGCTTGGTCAGCTAGTGTGGGAAGCAGAATACTTGGGGAGAAAAATAACTTATATGAATAGAGTGAAAACTAATTTTAGTATATTATTTTTCTCTTGAAAATATAAACCAGAAACTATAATTTCAATATTAATGATCTTAAATTGAGTGGATTTTTCAAACTTTTTATTCCATTGTTTTATATACTCATTACACAATGCAGGTGTGTGAATGTTGTTTCCCAATAGAAGAGAATATCTGTTTTCTTATTGTAAATAGGTAGATGGAAGGGAGAGAGGGAGGGAGGAAGATATAACAGCATTTAGTTATTATTTTCACTATCCAGATTACTGATTGTACTTTGCTAAATGAAATCAAAGTTGAAATTCCATTTCTTTCATGCATATCTTTCTCCATTTACATTTCCTTAAATTTACATTTCATGTGTATGTATATACATATTTCTACATAAGAATAAATCTCTGACAAGTAATGCCCATTTTTAAAACTGATAACAGTTTAAAACAGCCTGTTCTGCAATTTATCAGCAGAGATATACAGTTTTAAATTATATTTTTCATATAGATTGGAAAACCTGTTTTTCAAATTTAACAATTTTTTTAAAAAAATGAACTGATTTTCCAGCAGAAGCTTTGAGATCAAACTTCTCTTAGGAAGTACAACAACCCATTCTCAAAAGATAAACCTTCTTTCATACTGAAAAGCATGTTTTATGTTTCTTATATAATCTTCAAAAACTGGAAACATTTACTATCAAACAATATTTGAAGACAAATTATTTCTTAGGTGGAGGAATGTATTTTGAGTATATTACACTGTATGTTGAATTTTGTAACCAGAAACTACTTGGAAGATTAAAACCCTTTTGTGCTTTTCATATTTCAAGAAATGCTTAATAATGGCAAACATATTATTCTTGTTTAATAGTACCCCAAAGACATTACTAAGACCTTGGGGAAATGCTTAGAATCTACCTTCCCTAAATATATCAGACTGAATTATTCTTCCATTAGAAAGACCCATTTGTAATGTTAACATGAACAACTTTTGAAATCCTAAATGAGCTATTGCTAATAGATACAACAGCAATTGTATATCAAAATGTACATAGAGAAATTAAGCACAGAGGAATGATTGGATGACATTTGCATCAAGTGATGAAATGCAAAGCCAAGGACTATGAAAAGTTCCAACAAAGACAGGTGCACTCCAATATACCATTTATCACAGAACTAATGAATGTTGAATCTAATCCCATACTAATATCTTCTGTTGCACTTTCACAGCTGTGCCATTTATTGTTTCCTGTTTTTGAAAAAAAAAAAAAAGTTAATAGTGAAATTTGTCTATTCACCTGAATATTTGCTAGCTATGTCTTAATATTCACCATCAAAAGCAAGAACTGTGGAGTGGAGAAATTAAGAGAATTTTAAATTAAGAGAACAAGAGACATTCTTGCTAAAATGTATTGTATGTTATACAATTTTTCAACTTATCAAGAATGTCACAAGTACATTCACACAAACTTCGAAGTGTTTCTTTTGACATCAAGGCTTTTGTGATAAACTATTACACTTTAGGGACAACAATGTTTAGCAGAATTTCTGCTAAGCTGACCTCATGCCTGGAAGTTTGAATAAATATAGCTTACATTTTGTTCTGCAAGAAACTTTATGCATTTTGAGATATCTTAATAATCACATGCACGAGTGATCGCAAAGTTCAAAATATAAATCTATTGATTAAGCACTGTTAATCAGGAAAAATGACAGATAGGAAAAGCGAACAGAAAGCTGAGGAACAGGCATTGGGTCCTATTACACCACAATCCTTCTAATTGCAAGATATTTATAAGATACAAAGTATCAGCTTACTTATTTTTTCCCACATTGTTTTCATTAATTGCCCCGTGGCTACTTTGTGCTCAGCAGGAGATATGGTGAGCAGTCATCTTCTCTAATGAAGAAGGAAAGCAGAAAAGGAAGGCATTAGAAAGCACATTTTTCTAAATGTAGAGACCCAGGTGGGGATGAGAAGGAGGTTGTTGGCAATTACAAAGCCAATGGACTTTTTCCCTGCTTCTGTCATGTCACTGCCAGACTGCAAGCAACCTTATGATTGCTGTTTCCAAGAGTAATTGTGTATTGGAGATGTTAGTATTTTTTCCTTTGTTATATTTTCATAAATTATTTTTTTTAAAAAAATAACTTTGGGTTCACAAGAATATTATAAGTAAAACAATTTGCCTTCTATGCATTAGTGTATAAGAGAATGATTTTACTTATGAATACATGATAAATTATAAGTAACTTGAGGATTATTTTCCAGCCAGGTACTAGAACAGTGTTTTGCAACCTGTGAGGACTACAGCTCCAGAATTTCTGAAGAGTCCCTACATCTTAAATTCAACAAGGTTGACAAACACTGTACTAGTATAGAGACAATTTGTCATGGAATGACAGGACAACAAATGCTACATCAACTATTGCAACATGGTGCATGGATGTTCCTCCATGACAAATTGTGAATAATTGAGAGTGATCCAGGTTAGTGTAGTGTAGTGTAGTGCAGTGTAGTACAGTGCAGTGCAGTGAAGCACAGGCTAGAAACCGGAAGATCATAATTTCCAATTCTCCCTTGGGCATGAATCCAGGTGAATGTGTACATAATTGTATGATACATTTTATAATGTTTGAATTTGAATGAAGTCACTTGGAAGTGCATAGATTCTTCTTTTTTGAGATGCTAGATTTATTTTCTAATAATGGAACCTACACTTTATTTCCATTTACAGTTTTCAAGAAATCCTTGCTGTTTTTTTTTCCAAAACTGTACTTGAAGTAAAAATGGGGAAGTAAAACATTCACCTGTTAGACAGATTTATCCCCTCCATATTAGATCCCCACAGAGATCATTATCCTGCATTCTTCGATACATTAGCTCAAGGCTTAAGGTTTGCTCAATTTCCTTTCCTATTATCTGTTTGGTGTTTTTCTATAGACTCATTCTAATTCAAAATATATATATCAGAGCAGAGCAGAAGAACTCTTCTCTGTTGAAGACTTAACAGAATGACAAGTGCCAAATAGTGAATTTATTTTGTTCTGCTTCCTAATTGAGTTTCTTTGTGGAAAGCTGGCAAATAACAATGGAAACCAACCAACCAATCAATAATAGTTGTAGGAATGAGAATTTTAGTGGTATGTAGATATAGAGATATTTTTTCTTGATATATTCATGCTTATTTCTAGTAATTAATATATTATTTTCAGAATGGTCACAGAGTTATCATTATATGATCTTTTTAGAAATTTACCAGGCATAACTGTGACTGGCTGGAATCTTTCTCCTCTCATTGTTATAAAGAGCAACAACTTTGCCTCCTCCAGTCACTTGGCTCTTCACCCATTCTGCAGTTTTCAAAGATCATACATAAAATTTTAACCACACCATTAGCAAATTCCTTTAATATCTTGAAGTTTTAAACAAGTTCAGATTAAATGTATTTTTCAGAAGTGTGTTTCTATTAATCTTAAACTTCAATCCTTTCATCCAGCGCCGGAAAAGACGCCTGGAGAGCGGTTGGAGGGCCAGTCTCGCTGAATCTGATCGAACACTGGTAAGGTCGCATATTAAGGCCTACCTAGTGGCGATAAAGACGGCAAAATCTAACTACTTTTCCGCCTCTATTGCGTCATCAGGGAATCGTCCGGCCGCCCTGTTTAGGGTGATCCGCGCCCTGCTCCATCTGGGAGTGCGGGAGGATCCCTTAGAAGGCAGGGCAGAGGATTTCGGACAATACCTGTATGACAAAATCACTCAGATCCAGGGGGATTTGGACTCTGACTGGGTAGATCAGGGCAGGGTGACGAGGAACAGTCTTGAGAATGTTATCTGGGAGGAGTTTGATGCTGTGACTCCCGATGATGTGGACAGGATTTTGGGGAGACTTAGTGCGGCCACATGTTTACTGGACCCGTGTCCCTCCTGGTTGGTACTGGCTTCCCGGGAGGTTACACGAGGCTGGCTCCAGGGCGTCATTAATGCTTCGTTGAGTGAGGGTCACTTCCCCGCTGCCCTGAAAGAGGCGGTGGTGAGGCCTCTCCTCAAGAAGCCGTCCCTGGATCCAGCAATATTGGCTAACTATCGTCCTGTCTCCAACCTTCGCTTCATTGCGAAGGTTGTTGAGAGTGTGGTCACGCAACAGTTTCCACAATTCCTGGAGGAAACATCCTATCTAGATCCGTTCCAGTCGGGTTTCAGGTCTGGGCACAGCACGGAAACGGCATTGGTCGCGTTGGTGGATGATCTCTGGAGGGCTCGGGACAGGGGTTATTCCTCTGTTCTGGTCCTATTAGATCTCTCAGCAGCTTTTGATACCATCGACCATGGTATCATGCTGCACCGGCTGGAAGAGTTGGGGGTGGGAGGCCTGTGTTGCGGTGGTTCTCCTCCTTTCTCTCCGACCGGTCACAGTTTGTGTTGGCAGGGGGGCAGAGGTCGACCTCGAGGCCTCTCATTTGTGGAGTGCCACAGGGATCGGTCCTCTCGCCCCTTCTGTTCAACATTTATGTGAACCCGCTGGGCGAGATCATCCGTGGCTTTGGGGTGAGATACCACCAGTACGCTGATGACACCCAGCTGTACATCTCTACCCCAGGCCACCCCAACGATGCCCTTGAAGTGATGTCCCAGTGCCTGGAGGCTGTGCGGATCTGGATGGGGAGGAACAGGCTCAGGCTCAACCCTTCCAAGACTGAGTGGCTGTGGCTCCCGGGATCCCGATATAGTCAGTTGACTCCATCACTGACTATTGGGGGCGAGTCTTTGGCCCCCACTGAAAGGCTCGCAATCTGGGAGTCCTCCTGGATAGGCAGCTGTCTTTGGAGAAACATCTGACGGCTGTTACCAGGGGGACCTTTTATCAGGTTCGCCTGATTCGCCAGTTGCGGCCCTTTCTTGATCGGGATTCCTTGTGCACAGTCACTCACGCCCTCGTCACCTCTCGCCTTGACTACTGCAACGCTCTCTACATGGGGCTCCCCTTGAAGAGCACCCGGAGGCTCCAGTTGGTCCAGAATGCAGCAGCGCGGGTAGTGATGGGTGCAACATGGTGCTCCCATGTAACACCGCTCCTGCGCGAGCTGCACTGGCTCCCGGTGGTCTTCCAGGTGCGCTTCAAGGTGTTGGTTATCACCTTTAAAGCGCTCCATGGCATAGGGCCTAGTTATCTCCAAGACCGCCTGCTGCTACCAACGACCTCCCATCGACCCGTGCGCTCCCACAGAGAGGGCCTCCTCAGGATGCCATCAGCTAAACAATGTAGGCTGGTGGCCCCCAGGGGGAGGGCCTTCTCTGTGGGGGCTCCCACCCTCTGGAATCAGTTGCCCCCAGAGATAAGAAGAATCCAGGACCTCAATGCCTTCCGTCGTTCCCTGAAAACCCATCTTTTTCAGCAAGCCGGGTTGGTTTAAGAAGAAATTTTTAAATTCTTTTAATTAGTCTGTGATTCTTAACTTTCGGGCCAAAATTTATATATATTTTTAAATGTTTTAATATTTGTATTCTATGTTTTTTATCTTGGCTGTACACCGCCCTGAGTCCTCAGGGAGAAGGGCGGTATATAAATTGGAAATTAAATTAAATTAAATTAAATTAAATCCTGGTTTTTCACAATTCCTTTGAAATATGTATCTTCTTCTCACAAAAGACCGATTCAAAATAGGAATTGAATAGTTCTGCCCCCTTTTTAAAAAATCTGCATTAGCATTTTGCCATTTTTATTGAGCAACAGTTATACTGATGCTTTCTTTATTATTATTATTTTTATCATATTTGAAGAAGCCTTTCATCTTGGCATCAACTTCGATTTTAACCTTTGGGATTCTTTTTCTACAATTCTAAGCAATCTGTATGTATTCTTCTTGGTGACGTGCCCAAAGATCTGAAAGATAGCAGAAGAAATATAACAATCCAATCCTCATCCTTTTTCTACATGTTTTCAACATTTGTGTGATGTTGGTAAATGTATCAGGAATGTACCAAGTCAGGAATTGGTTTGTAATGCTGTACCCACTATTTTGTGGACTGACCTGCCCCTCTTTACACTCCTACATTTCCTGTATATATATATGAATGAATAAACAAGATGATACCTCCCCCATTTGGAAACCCGCCCTCATTGACAAAAGAGTCCCTAACACAAAGAATGATACCAGACCCACATTCACAAAAACCACACAGGATGTCACCACCACACATCCATGCAAAAAGCAAACCCACACCGATGAAGCACGACCACAAACCAGAAGCCAGACCACAGCTGCATCATTAGCCACTTTAAATCCCTCCAATCCATACATGAAGCAAACTGACACCCACCATGAAGATGTGCACGACCACGAACACGAAGCCAAACAACAGCAATACAGCTCACCAGCTCAAATCCCCCTGCAACTCAGACTAACACGAGCACAACCAAGCCCCCACCTAAACAGAACACACCCCCAGCCAATTAGAGCACAGCCAACCCCCCATCCAATCAGAGCACAGCCAAACCCGCAACAAATCAGAACACACCTCCACCCAATCAGAACACAGCCAAGCTCCAACTCAATCAGTTCACCCCCCCACTAGCAGTTAAAAGGAAGAAACAGCTGCGATCTCACATTGCTCCTAGAAGCACGAAGCCGAAAACACCAGCCTAAAGATGACGAATGAGACTTCGTCGAAACGTCGCCAAGACACTTCCAATTTTATGCGGAAGAAAACCTGAATAACCAAAGACCTACATATATATATACATACATACATACACATACATACATACATACATACATACATACATACATACATACATATATCCTACTCTACCCTCTGACAGACAAAGATGTCTACAAAATTGGTTTTTAATTTCTTCGACTAAACATGCTTGGTATGTTTTTTTCTTCAAACAGGTTAGCTTAATTAAATATTACTTCATATCTCCTGAAAATATCTAACTTGTTTTGGGAAAATATTGTATACATCTTTTTCTTGGTTGAAAGTTAGGTCACAAACATGAGAAGGGCAGTTATTATATATAAATACCTAAATATACAAAATGTGTTTCTCCCAGGATTTTAATCCAGATGCTTTTTACAATATTGCTTAGTTCATTCATCTAGAGTTCTGAGAAGAAGTGTATACTTTTAAAATAGAAATGTGCGTCTCGTACTTCTGTTTTTTTTTTTTGAACAAATTACTATATTGTAATCTTTCTACCAGTGTTTTGTTATACTTATTATGCATTTCCTGTACTGAAAGTAGACACTCATTTTACTTATTTTTCAGTGTACAGTATATACCAACAAAAGGCATAAGCTTTTGAGTTGTTTTTTTCATGACCGTAGTAAACCTGCACATCCTTCAATAATGAAAACTTTTTGTCATGCTTTTTAAATTTCTAATCCCTGCAGGATTCTGTTTAAGGCCCTCCTGGTCAAACTCCCTATGTTTTGAACAAGCAAATTGATCCCTGTGAATTGTAATTTGTCTCATTCCAACACTAGATAATTCAGAGACAGTGATCCAAAAACAAAATTTCTTCTGTGAAGGTACTTTGCATAGCCATCATTAACCTTCAGTGTTCTTTCCTTTTTTGTTCTCTTCTGTGGACTGGAATTTATTAGCTTATTTTTTGTTCACCGTGACCTTCAATACTTTTAGAATCAAGGCATCATTCTAATTCTATTTGAAAATTTCCAGTGAAGGGAAGCATACCACTTCATAAGGAACATATCACATTAGTTGAATAGTTCAGGAAATTCCTCCTAATGTCTAAGTTGAATCGCTTTCCATATAGTTTCCATCCATTGATTCTGGTCCTGCTTTCCAGAGCTACAAGGAACAAATCCACTTTCTTTTTTGTATGACAAGACTGCAATTCTTTCTTCCCTCAAATCTTTTCTTGTTCAAACTAAATATGCCTAAATCATGTAGCTATTCCTTACATAATTTGGTTTACAGTCTCCTCAATTACTTGTTAACTCTCCTTTGAAATCACCACAGCTTGTCAATATCCTTTTTAGACCGTAATACTCAGAACTAGATGGAATGTTCTAAGTGAGATCTGACCAAGTCTGACTTTAATGGAATCATTACTTCTCATGAGTTGGATTGGGATGTTTCTGGATTGAAAGGATTAGCCTTTCAATCTTTCACTTGAGGACCTCATGGGAGCGTGGCAGAAAACAATTAACATTGCTAGTTTCTGGGCAAGATCTGTTTAATTTGTACATATTTTAATCTTGTATATTTTAAATTTATGTTATATGGTATGCCTTATTTTAATTGTGGTGCTTCTGACATAAATCAACAAATCAATAATGGTCTAGATTCTATGATTCTGTTAATTTCTCCCAAAATGGTAAATACCTTTTCAATAGCTCAATCATATTATAGTTTCCTCACACCTGGAATCCAGCAACCTTTATTCTCTTATGGAACTTTGACATCTTGTTACTGCTGGTTGTTTGTTGCAGACATTCTAAACAATGACTCTTTTTCCTCCTCCTCTCTTCCAGTCCAGTTACCATAGCACCATGTAACCATGGTAAGATATCCTGGCTAAATAGAAACTTTGGGGAGGAAAAGCTAACATGCTATGAACACTATCATTTGCAGGAGATTACTAAATGCTATAAAGAACTGATGTGCATGACAAGAAAGTTTACGTTCATATAAATTGCTCAGGGTTTTTCTTTCATGAGCAACTAGAATATATATTGAAATTTTGGACAGAGAGGATGTTAGTGCTATATTTATGTCTATTTAGGCTGCAGTGGAGACAAGTAATATTTGTGTTCCAGTGTCAACAGTAGCTTATGTGGTGGGACATTGATTGGATGAATTCTTCTATTGGTCAGCTGGAGATGAGTACTGATTGACTCATAATAATTCCTTTGTGTTCCCAATGTTTATAAGTTGGCAGAAATAATAATAATAATAAAATGATTACAGTTAGTTTCTAGTTGATTTGCAAGGATTATGAAATGGAAAGAATGTGGCATGGAAACGATCAGACATAGTGTGTTTTATCCAAATGTAGTTATCTAAGAGGAAACTCACTGAAATTAATAGGAATTAAAATTATCATGACTAATGTAAGCAAAATTGATGTCAATATGCTGAAATTGGAGAATGACTGAATTTCAGCTCAACCCACTATGTTCACTGATCATTAGAATGTTGTACTCCTTAGAATTTCTGGAAAATAGACAAAAATGTCTGTCTCAAAAGGCAAGCAGTAATATATTTCAAAGGAAGACAAAATGCCAAGGTTAAATTTGGTCCCCATTTAAAACAAAAACAAATCAACCAACAAAGAACAACCAAATCAAATATAAACATGAAATGTCTTTACTGAATTAAAGATACAATTACACCTCATTTAAGCATTTTTTTAAAAATCTGTTAAACTGAAGGTAGTTTTTTTATCTAAAAACTTCATAGAATTTATATAGTAATCTACGACAAATTATTATGCTGTGTATATTATGCTGTGTGTGTCTGTATGTGTCATTGTAATAATAAGAGAGGTAAACATCTCAAAAAGTTGTGTGTGTACATACGCATGTATGCATGTAAGTATATGTGTTTGTACATATGTTTGAATATATATGTACACGTGTATATATGTGTGTGTGTACATATGTGGATAGAGAGATGATAGATAGATAGATAGATAGATAGATAGATAGATAGATAGATAGATAGATAATTTGCTTTCCATGTGAAGAGGATAAAATGATGATAATTATTATTTTGTATTTTTTTTAACAGGTAGGATAATTTTGGTGGAATATTCACACGTGGATTTAAGATTCAGTCCTTACTTTATTTGTGAAGCAAGCAATCTGATTCACGTTAGCATTCTGGACAATCTCTAATGGACTATAAATTCCTGGCCTCCCATGCTCTATTCAACACCAAGAGAAAGCCTCCTGAGGAAATGACTCTCAAGGGATTTTTTTTTCCATCCAGAAAGTACGGGCAGCTAGAGTAATGAAAAGTTGTGAAACAAACAAACAAACAAACCCTCCATCATGTCACAGTGATAAAAATAAATTCCAAAATACCACCGAAAGACATTTGAAAGATGTTCTAAAGTTCTCTGAGAAAGAAGGGGAAGGGTTAGAAGGAAACCATCCTTATTTTATCAAGGGAAACAATGTTTTGGGAAACTGGGCAAATATATTTTATCACAGTGCTATTTTTTATTTTAGACCAAAGGCAGGTGATCATGAAAAAGAAAAGGGCTGTCATAGTACAAATAAAAATGAAAGCTTTTTGAAGGGCATCTTTATTTTCTGTTCTTCATACTAGAACTAAAAGCTAACTAATGAAATGGATTACTAGGAAGTTAAGAACAAAGAATATAATAATTTTAAATATTGTCTAAAATGCATGAAGGAATCATAAATTATACTGTGCATGTGTTCAAACTCATACTATATGTAAGTAGAATGCCATTATAGGAGACCATAAACAGAAACATTGTCTCTGCCTTCTTTGTTGTAATATTACAGTATTTCCTGCATTCACTGTCTTTAATATATAAAATTAAATGAATAAATGTTCAGAGTACCAACAAACAAGCATTGCAGCTGCTGCTTCCTGGGTGAGAGGAACTGAAACACGGTTGAGAACACCATCACCTCCCTCTGCCAGCAATGGTTCCTTTGTTCTTTCTTGATATTGTATTGAATATAATATTGTATATTAAGGTAAAGGTAAAGATTCCCCTCGCACATATTTGCTAGTCGTTCCCGACTTTAGGGGGCGGTGCTCATCTCTGTTTCAAAGCCAAAGAGCCAGCGTTATCCGAAGATGTTTCATTGTGGTCATGTGGCCTAAATGCCAAAGGCACATAGAACACTGTTACCTTCCCACCAAAGGTGGTCCCAATTTTTCTACTTGCATTTTTTACGTGCTTTCAAATTGCTAGGTTGGCAGAAGCTGGGACAAGTAACGGGAGCTAACCCCATTTCGTGGCAGTAGGGATTTGAATTGATGAACTGCCAACCTTTTGATTGATAAGCTCAGTGTCTTAGCCACTGAGCCACCAACCTCCTTCTCTTCGGCACAATCCTTACGCTGCTTGGCTAATCCACGGCAGGTGAAGGCGCAGACAGAGCGAGGATAAGGCGGAGGCACGGCTGCTGTGCTCTCTTCTCTCAGGAGATCCCATTGGTGTCTTTCCACCCATGCAAGCTGTTTCCAGATTGCTTGCAGGGGCTGTTGCTGCTGCTTCTCCTCAGCATCTCTCCCCTCTCTCTCTCCTCTCACGGCCTGCCCCACCATTACGAGCAGCCCTTGTTGCTCAATATAGAACTGGACAGAATCAGATGACTATAATGAAAGTTTGTTGGATGAATATGCCCACAGCCTGTTTATAGTTTGCAAAACTGAAAAAAACATCCAACCACATTTCCTCATCACTTTCCTGGTTGACCAAAGAAAAAGGAAACCAATGATCTTCATCTGGATCACTTGAAGGAAGGTTGAATTAGGCCCTTTCTTCTCACAATTCCTCCAAGCAACAGTGTCTGCCATACCTCCATGTTTTCTGAAATGCTCTTCAACCACCAAAGTTTGCTTGATGGATCATCATCTGATCTTGCAGTCCAATGGTCATATTCTTCAATAAACTATGCCTATAAAGATAATCAGGAAAAAAAATGTATCGAGGAGCCTCTGGTGAAGTATGTGAAATAAGCACCATTCCTGAAAGTCAGCATAAAGAAGGACTGCACGTCGCATTTACTGAATCAGATTGCTTCAGACCAGTTCCACAATGAATAGCAAAAATGGAAGACCGAGATTTACCACTGCAGGATGCCTTTTTATGTGATGAAAATTTTAGCAATTTTACAAAGAGAGCTGAATGAGCAAATTGGCCACTGACACAGTGGAGAGGAAAATATTGCTTCTGCATACCTTCTTGTTGATTTGAGGAGTGTTTTAAATAATAGCTTCCAACTTTGCACCTGACAAGCCTAATCTAAAAATTTGCATTTTGCCATCATCATTGTGAAGATCTGCCAGGAGTGAATTCATTTACCATAGAGAATGATGAATATGCTGTATAAGAATGCAGGGACCCTCCTTGTTTTACATTGGGCCTTTGAGCAAAGTGACTTTGGAGTTTCTTTTTTCCCAGAACACTGTAGAGTCATGCTTCACACAAAAATGCACAATTCACACTAGCCTTATACAAAAGAATGTGATCAGATGCAACAGATAAGATTATTCATATGAGTTGAGACTCTGCTTTTCAAGGCAGTGATGGAAAATACTTTTCAGCTTCAGAAGAATACATTTTGATTTGCTGGCTGCTTGTGTGTTTTTGAGAAGAAAGTAACTGCTGTATCTCAAGGTGACAGATGATATATGTTCTAAAGAAAGTAACCTTGTAATCATTACAAATCAATCCATATAATAATTGTATTTCTAAAAAGCACAAGTCTCACTTAGATGAAAACTTTCAATGAAAGAGCAGCTTATTTCTCTTTCTCTTCTTCTATCTCAACTCTTACTAGAGTGTTTTTCTTGCAGCTTGCATGTCAAGATCTGCCTGTGTCCTTCACACCACCATCATCACAATCTGTGAAACAAATGTTTTCTTTGATTTGTAAGATATTTGAGCTGTATTACCAAAAGTCAATTGAGGCCAAGAGAAAAACAGAGAAATATGGCATAGACATCAAAGAAAGTACCACAAAGGAAGAAAGGCATCGTAGTTATGAGGACATTGCTTGCTTTGGTAAAATAGAACTTCCTTCTATTCTTAAAATAAAATTACAATTGTGGCTTCCTTTGGTAAAAGAACAATATTCATTCCAGGACGTAGCAGTCACAAGTCTCCAGGAAAGTGAAAAAAGGTGTATGACCCAATTGATACATAAATCCCATGATTTGTGTAGTTGTGTCCAATAATGGGATAAAAGGGAGGATTTGCAGTGATATTAACATATGATTTTATTTTCACTGGGGTAATGCTGACCCCTCAGTTGGCAGCCCTAGACACTTTAGACAATCAAGAAGATATACAGGATTAATACTCAAATGGAAAACCACCAGAAGATCTCAGGATTGTGATATTGAAATAAAATTCTGAATATTGCACCATACAGGAATAATCCGAGTAAATACATGAAGTTGAGTTGTGTACTGTCCAAAAAACATTTGAGTTTAAATATTATTTCTTCCAGAAAATGCTTATCACACATGACTATTGACATCTAACAAGTCCATAAATAGTTTGCATTTATACTGGTGTAGGCTTTAATGGCTGGAATTTGTTAGGCAATGTTGGGTTATTGGGTTTAGACAACAGATTTCCTGATATTTCACAAGCAGCTGTGATCTTCAGATGCAAGGTGGTCTGCTATGCACTTAAATTTGCACTTAAATCATCTTTTGAAAGCCTTTTAATATGATATTGTTAAAATCATTTGTTAAGAAATAACCAGGAAGCACCTTGGAAAACTTTTTCTCTCTTTCTCCCTCCCTGTCTCATCTGAGGGAGATGGGCAATTTAGAAATAGGAATGAATGAATGAATGAATGAATGAATGAATGAATGAATGAATGAATAATTCTAACAAAGAATTTAGTAAACTGAGTGAATTTTTCTACGTAATATAAAAGATAGGAGTCTGAATTTTCATCAACTTTTTAGAAACCTGGATATTTCAAATTCTCCTGAGTCTTATCATTTTCCAGTCTCTAATAAATTATGTAGAACCATTTTTCAAGGATGAGTGTTACAAAAACTCCTTAGCAATAGACATTTTTTAAAAATAAATCATGACTTGAGTTGAAAGGGAAGTACATAAGATGATTTGAACATTATTTGAATCCTATTTTGTTGTACCAAAGTGTTTTGAATCTCAAGATAATGGATGAGAGAGAGACAGAGAGAGAGAGAGAGAGAGAGAGAGAATAAAAATGCAAACAAATATAAGGTAAAAAAAAAGAAAGAAATCAAAGAGAAAGATAGAAGTGCAAGAAAATAAAAAAGTAAAACAAAAACAGAAAAGAAATTTTAAAAAGTTCAAAGAAGTACCTTCCAAACTTTTTTACATCAATTGTAAGTATAGTTCTAAATTGACCTCTTATTGTATGGTTACAACAGAATTTTCTTTTTTCTATACTCTATTCTATCTAATCATCAAAATAATAAGTTCATTTTTTTCCTGTTTACACAAAATAGCCAAAAGGGGTTAAATGTCCCAGTGCCTGGAGGCCGTACGGATCTGGATGGGGAGGAACAGGCTCAGGCTCAACCCATCCAAGACCGAGTGGCTGTGGTTTCCGACGTCCCGATATAGTCAGCTAATGCCATCGCTGACTATTGGGGGCGAATCATTGGCCCCCACGGATAGGGCTCGCAACTTGGGCGTCCTCCTGGATTCACGGCTGTCGTTAGAAGAGCATGTGACGGCCGTGTCCGGGAGGATTTTTCATCAGGTTCGCCTGATCTGCCAGTTGCGTCCCTATCTAGATCGGGACTCCCTACACACAGTCACTCATGCCCTCGTTACTTCTCGTCTGGATTACTGCAATGCTCTCTACATGGGGCTCCCCTTGAGGTGCACTCGGAGGCTCCAACTGGCGCAGAGTGCGGCCGCGCGGGTGGTGATGGGAGCGACATGGAGTTCCCATGTGACACCTCTCCTGCGCGAGCTGCACTGGCTCCCGGTGGTCTTCCGAGTGCGCTTCAAGGTTCTGGTTATCACCTTTAAAGCGCTCCATGGCTCAGGACCTGGTTATTTACGGGACCACCTGCTACCACCAATAGCCTCCCACCGGCCAGTACGCTCCCATAGAGAGGGGCTCCTCCGGGTGCCGTCGGCCAAACAATGTCGGCTGTCGGCCCCTAGGGGGAGAGCCTTCTCTGTGGGGGCACCTACGATTTGGAACGAGCTCCCCCCGGAGATACGTAGGATCCCGGATCTGCGCACCTTCCGCCGCGCACTTAAGACTTTTCTATTTTATCAAGCTGGCCTGGCCTAAATCTTCCCCCTTTTTAAATGTGGAAATTTTAAATTTTTAAATTTTAAATTCGTCTTTTTATAGGGGTATGGGTAAGGCATTTTAAATTGGGGAGCCATTTTAGATTTAATTCTGTTTTAAACGTATTTTAATTGTTTATATTGTATGTTTTTAACTTTGGCTGTGCACCGCCCCGAGTCCTTCGGGAGAGGGGGCGGTATAAAAATCTAATAAATAAATAAATAAATAAATAAATCCCTTGGGAATTCAAAAGAAATACAAAGGTAACTTTAAGGGGATGTCCAAGCATTCAAAATACAGTTAGGACCATCTCTAGGCCTAGTATCATTTGTGTTCCTCTCCAAATAGCACAAATTATATCTTGAGAGAATTGCAAAAGGAAGTTTTGATAAGGTATGGAGAATACCAGAGAATATCAGGAAATGATATTCCGCATACCCTGGCCCATTATTCACAAGTGGAGAAAAGGGTCTTACCAATTCCTGCT